ATATTAACTTAAAGTGGCGGCGGCAGAATATTGACATTCTGTTCTTCTCCTCAAAATCTGTGTTCTATTACTCTTCCATCACTCTTTCTTCTACATCTTCTTCACTTTCTCTTCTCATCGAACCTGAAATCTCTTAGTGATCAAAACTGAATAGCAGTCTTGAAAACCTACAACAATGACAAAACAGGATTCATGTAACTGAATCCACATTGTTACGACAAGGCTTAGAGGATAAGGAAAAAGACTTCACTACTGTTAAAATCTAGTCAGCAGGGGCAAATTCATTATTTTTCATTCATGACTGGTTTGTGAATTGTAAAAATTTCAAAGAAAAAAAAATCCCAAATGAACACTGAAAATTCACAGCATAAAAACAGGTGACCAGTGTTCTCTTGCTTCTTGTAAATAACACTTTCGTTCGGAAGCTGCAACCCTCCAGCTTTCAAAACAGGATTCATATAGACTCCACATTGTTAGGACAAGGATTAGATGATGAGTAAGGAAAAAAGATTTCATTAGTGTTAAAGTCTAGTGAGCAGGGGCAAATTCATCATTTTTCTCTGAAGAGACTCGTGACTGGTTTGTGAATTGTAAAAATCTCAAAGAAAAAAAATCTCAAATGAACACTGAAAATTCACAACATAAAAACAGGTGAYCAGTGTTCTCTTGCTTCTTGTGTATAACACTTTTGTTCGAAAGCTGCAATCCTCTAGCTTTCAAATGGTTAAAGTTAAGATGCCGTCAAGTGCTACCAGCCATGAAAAAACTTCCGCTCTTGGTGGAATTGGGTTGCTCCAAATCCATATAAATTTTCCATCCTTGCATTCTTTTTTTATCAATAACTTTCAATTTTATTAATTAAAATACAACAGAAAGTACATATATACAAATCGACCCTAAGATAAAATATCTTATCTCTGCCCTCTCTCTTCCATCCTTGCATTTTTTTCCACCATTCTGAGTCACTGGAATTAAGTATCAAAATCTCCAGCTTGGAAAGAAGATTTATGCATTCCTCCAACTCTGTCCAGCACCAGTTCCCCTCTAAATACATGGAGCTAAAATTTCCACCATTAAAACAAATAGAAAAGAAGACAAGGGGTCACCTTCCCTAATACCCCAAGATGCTTGAAAGAACTCCGTAGATGAACTGTTCACCAAAATGAAAAAGCAAAACTGAGGAAATGCAAGAGAAAATCTAGATTCTCCATTTTTCTCCAAAATCCATGGCCTATAATTTCATCCATCACCGATTTAATTCTTACAGATAATATCTGTGCTATGATTTTATAGGGGCTGGATATTAAACTAAAAGGTCAGATATCCTTCACTTGAGTTTTTCCTTTTTTTTATTGGTATGTACATAATAAAAGATACATTTGCCACCTTGTGCAAAAAACCTCCCTCCTGAAATATATTAGCCATCCTAACATCTTTAACAATGCTCCAAATGTCTTAAAATTGTCATATTAAAGCCGTCTAGACCCACTGGCTTTATCCGCATTCATCACTTTCACCATTTCAATTTCTTCCTAGCTCTTCTGCCTTCTCTCACTCTAATTCTTTCAAGTGAATGTCACCTTTGCAGTACTTCATGTTTTCTTCTATGAATGTTTCAAAATGAATCTCTTCCAGCCTTTTATTTTTCTTTCAATAATTGCAACTTACTAATTAATGTTTACCCACTCCACCTCCTATCTCCTTTCACCTTTCACCTTCTCCAAAAAACTAAAGTTAAGATTTATTTGGGTTCAGCTTCCATCTAATTAAGATTAAAGAACCATTATGTAGGTTAATTGGATTTCAAGGCAAACTTGATCACATCATCATATGTTTCTTGTATAAGTGGTAAACCGTCATAGTTTTATTAAGTATATATATGGTAGATATAGATTGAAATGGGGTAAAATCACTTTTCTAATGTTTTTAAATTTTGATAAATTTATAGAAAACAATGAACAACTTTACAATTTGCAACTTCAGAACCCAATTTGATTCAAATTTCTTTATGTTTTACAATAGGTTAGGATTTTCAGTACATTAAGAGCAATCAGTAAGCCATATCAACAGCTCTAAACAAAATCAACCAAGTCCAAATAATCCAAGTAAAAAACCTGAATTGGACGGTTAGATAATGTGGTCTACCTATTTGCCATGGAAATACAATCACATAAGACTGTTTCTATTTTCTTTTTCCAGTTTAAGTGCAAAATTATCACAGTGACAAGCTACCTTGGAAAGTAGTTTCTGCTTTGCCCTTAAGGATCAGTTTAGAAAGAGTACAAATACAAATATGTACAGTACAAATACATACATAATAATACGAAATACAAGTTTTGCACTCTACATATTTGTATTTGTACTCCTTCCAAACTGAGCCTAAGTTGCATGAATAGAAAGGACATTTAGGGGGTGTTCTGTAGCATGGCTGTGGCTCATTTCGTTTGGTTCCAGAGTGCACAACAGAGAATGGCAATCTTTTACATTGTGATGTGTTCTGAGATGAGCTATAGTGTATAGTGTATTCTGGAACTGAAACAGAGAATGGCATTCTTTTACATTGTGATGTGTTCTGGGATAAGCTATAGTGTATAGTGTATTCTGGAACTGAATATATCGCGACATTTTCACCACACCAAAATCTCATGCTCCAGAACCCACCACACCTTGGACATGACTGTGGCTCGTTTTGTTTGGTTCCAGAGTGCACAACAGATAATGGCATTCTTTTACTTTGTGATGTGTTCTGGGATGAGCTATAGTGTATAGTGTATTATGGAACTGAATATATCCCAATATTTTCATCACACCAAAATCTCATTCTCCAAAACCCACCACACCTTGGAACACTCATCAAACAATTATTTGGAATATTTTAATAATAATTTATGTATTCCAAATCTCAAGGCATTGGAACACACCACATAACCACAATACAGAACGCTTGGTGTGGCGTAGTGTGTTCCAAAATACACCATTTCCCAGTGGCCTGGAACGTACCACCATTTTTTGGCCACAGTACCTAACACCCCCTTAATGTGAATTATGCTCCTATAGGGGTATATGATCACTTGTTATTAAGAGGGGGCAGAAGAGAGAGAAAATATGAAAACATTGAAACTAACCCCCTCTCAAACTGAGCCAAAAAAAAAGACATGTTCTCAACACAGACCAGGTTGTGATTTGGGAATCAATTGACGTAAAAGGACCAAATACCTACTTCAACTCCAAGGAGTCCCAAAAGTTATAGCCTAAATGCCCAAATACCAAAATGGAGAAGAATCCTCTTAAAAGATTTGAGAATGAAAACCCAAATCAATATTGGGGAATCTTGCTTGAGTCAGATTAAACATTAAAGGTGTATGACCCCAGCAGTAGAAAAAAGGTGCTTTTTTTCAGTTATTCCACTCTTAATAATATTAATAACTAATTAACAGTGAATCATAATCTAGTACACAAAARCTAAACAGAAGCAAACCTCCGGGCAAAAGAAAAGGCGCGGTAGAGTGGTAAAATGTAGTTAATATGAATCGGATTCAAGTTTAATGTTGTAATAGCGATTGGCTGTTCGGAAAATTTTCAACTTCTTTGGTCCGTATACTGGATTCAGCAATTCAATATCGTAAATGAAATAAGAAACCCTCGATAAAATTCTCTGAGGAGGAGATCTTCCCTGTTCCAACGACTAACTGAACTGCTTTAGGAATTGCAGAAATTTAGAAAGAACAAAACGAACGAAGAACCTATCACTTAATCAAAACCGTTACTGTTGCAGAAAAAGAAGTAGCAAATTTCAAAAACGCTGGCATTTAATGAAAATCTAATATGATTTGAACTGACCTGATTGTTGGTTTGTAGTTTGAAGGTCTAACTTCTCTTCGCTCTCTCACCCTCTATTCTATATGCGTCTCTCTCTATCTCTCTCTCTCTCTCTCTCCACCCTCCTTCACTCGCTCGCTATAATATCTCTGTGTGAGCTGTGACTTTCTCTGCTAACCATCACGTTTTTTCTGGTTTTCAATGTCGCTGCCCGCCCCTTAATTAATTTTTCTTTAAAGAGAAGAAGAAAGAGAGTACGTTGAACTTTTCCCTGTCGAGTGTCGGCTCGTACCAGGAACCAGACTCCCACACCCAGACCACGTACGCTCTGTCCGTCCCCACTTCCCCCCCTGTATTCTACGATCGTCGTCTCCGTAAATCCGTTTAGAGCAAATGAACGATGGTAGTCGTACCGCTTGGTCAAATCGTATTCGTATAATAATACGGTCTGTTTGAGGAACGTGAACGACTGACTGAACGTTGAGATGATGAAATGTGGGGGCCCACTGTTAATTAAAGCTACGCTGCTACTGTGCGTATCATATTCATGGTAGTATCCGAAAAATGTTTCACATTGGAGTTGTTTGAGTTTGACCAATCGGTAGTGTTCGGATCTCACACCATAGGAACCTTTTCCAAACCTACATATTCCATTTCATCGAGAGATTTTTCCCATCTAATAAGTTCAATTACCTCTCATTAAATTTTATATTTAAGTCATTAAATAAATCATATTTTCATTGAATCCAACATTTATAATTTTCTTTATCATCATTAAATTCCACTAATAAATTCATACACAATAATTATTAATATAATAAAATTTTATATTTTAAAATAAACATAAAAATGAAATCATATTTTTTATCTAGGTGGTAGGTAAGTACTTCAACCATTTGGGTCTAATGGATAATTTCATGATGTCATAAATAAATAATACAAACTTATAAATATAAAAAATACTTTTATTTATCTTCGTTAAAGTCCACTAATAAATCCATACATAATAATCATTAATAAAATGAAATTTTATGTTTTTAAAATAAACCTATAAATAAAATCACATTTTCCATCTAGGTCATGGGTAAGTACTTCAATCATTTGGGTCAAATGGATAATTACATGATGTCATAAATAAATAATACGAATTTAGAAATATAAGAAATACAAAAATATAGAAAAATAAATAAATTTTGAAAAAAAATGGATAGTTTATCTTATTATATAGTTGTCATATTAAAAAATAACTATGACAAAATAGACATAATTTTATTAATGATGGAATCAAATATACAACTTAAAACCGATGAGAAATTAAACCATCTTCCTATCTAGGGGTGGGTTAGTGGTTCAATCATTCAGGTCAAATAGTTTAACCCATGATGTATAATTAAAAATATTTTTTTAAAATAGAATAGTACAAAAAAATGAAACAATTTGGGGCACATCTATAATATTATATACTAATGATATAAATAAAAATAAGTATGATAAATAATAATTATTTTATCAATGATATAAATGAAATGCAAAATTTAAAACCAGTTTGAAAATGAAACTGTTTCCATATCTGGATGGTAGGTAATGGTCTAACATTCTAGGTCAAATGGGTCAATCTATGATGTCATAACTAAGTAACGAATATTAAAGATATACATACATACATACATACATACATACATACATACATACATACATACATACATATAAACTAAAAAAAATAAAAAACTTTGTATAAAGCATATTGATACAATTTTATTATTATATATTCACCATATTAAACAAAAATAAATGTGAAAATAAGAACTACTTTTATCAATGATGAAAATTGAATATATGATTTAAAATCAACCGAAAAAGCAAAATGGTTTTTCCATCCAAGTGATGGGTTAGTGGTTAAACTATCCATGTCAAATGGATGTTATTATTAAATAATAAAATACATAAAATTCTATAAAATATAGAAATTTGTTGATAATTTTGGGTACATTCTATAATATTATATATTCATCATATAAAAAATTGTGATTAATGAGAATTATTTTCATTAATGAAAGAAATGGGATAAAAGTTAGGATAAAAATAAAGAACATTAATGTCTAACACATGATCCGACAAACCATGCCAAATGGTTCAATAATTTAATTAGCTAGATAATCGTAGGCAAGTGGTTTGGTAGGGGTGCAAATAGATCAGATCATATTTGAATTAGGGTATATTCAAATTTGATTTGATCCAAAGATTCGACTGAATCTCATAAATATTGGTTCAAATCTGAATCCGATCAAGATGTCAGGTATCCAAATATGATATGATCCGATTTAATATTTTAAAAAAAGTAATAAATTATTAAAATAACAAGAAAAATATAATAGTTGAAATAAAAAACAAAAAATGTAAGTATTTTTTCAACTATTTCCATCATATAAAAAGTTTACAAAAATATAATATAAATAATATATTTACAAATAAATAATAAATAACATATATATTATATATAAATAATATATATACTATATATATAAATAATTTATTTGACCATAATTTTAAAAACCAATGTTCAAACAATATATTGGAATTGCATTTCCTCTCGGTAAAAAGTATTTTTTATTATCTCATAAATTAAATGATAAAAAATAAAAATATACATTTTTTATAAATTTTATAAAAAAATTTGAACATACATTAATGTTATATATTATTCGTATTAAACAAAAATATGTTTGAAAAAATGAGAATTATTGTTAGTAAAGACAGAAATGAGTAAAACATGAAGAAAAAATGAATTAATGCCTTAATCATAGTCCATTTTCCTGGTTAAATAGGTTAATGGTTAAACTAGTAAGGTCCTTTGATTAATGATTATTATTATCATCATCATTTGGTACTACCACGTGCAAAAATAAATGCAAAAATAAGAATTACTTTTATTGATGATGAAAATGTAATACATGATTTAAAATCAATCGAAAAAGAAAAAATGGTTTTTCCATCCAAGTGGTGGGTTAGTGGCTCAACTATCCATATCAAATGGATCAACACATGATATTATTATTAAATAATAAAATACATAAAATTCTAGAAAATGTAGAAATCTGTAGATAATTTTGAGTACATTCTATAATATTACATATTCATCATATAAAAAAGTGTGATTAATGAGAATTATTTTCATTAATGATAGAAATGGGATAAAAATTAGGATAAAAAATAAAGAGCATTAATGTCTAACACATGACCCAACCATGTCAAATGGTTCAATGATTTAATTAGGCAGGTCATTGTAGGCAAGTGGTTTGGTAGGGATGCAAACGGATTAGGTCATATCGGATTTGTATTTGATTCGAAAAGAATATCTAATTGGATCTCATAAATATTGATTCAAATATGAATATGATCAATATGATGGATATTCGAATATGATATGACCCGATTTAATTTAAAAAAAATAATAAATTATTAAAAGGAAAAGAAAATATAATAGTTGAAATAAAGAAAAACAAAAAATATAAGTATTTTTTCAACTATTTTCATCATATAAGAAGTTTACTAAAGTGCAATATAAATAACATATTTATAAATAAACAATAAATAAAATACAGTATACATAAATGATATATATATATATGTATATATATATATAATTTATTTGATCATAATATTAAAAACCAATATTCAAAAATATATTGGAATTGCATTTACTCTTGGTAAATAAGTATTTTTTATTATCTCAAACATTAAATAATAACAAATAAAAATATAGAATTTTTTATAAATTTGATAGAAAAATTTGAACATGCATTAATATTATATATTCTTCATATTAAACAAAAATATGTTTAAAAAATAAGAATTACTGTTAGTAAAGATAGAAATGGCTAAAATACAAAGAAAAAAATGAATTAATGTCTTAATCATAGTTCATTTTCCTGGTTAAATAAGTTAATGGTTCAACCAGTAGGGTCATTTGGTTACTAACTATTATCATCACATCATTTGATATTGCCATGTGCAACGCGCATACACTTTTTCTAGTGTGTGTATATATATATATTATATATTATAAATATATTACAATATATAATATATTATTTATTATTTATAATATAATATTTTATATATATTTCTAGTMTTTTCATAATATAATATAGCATGTTATATTTATTATATATAACACTATGAAAATAAAAAAACCAAGGAACCGAACCAATGGTTAATTGAACCGATCAGCTTTGATTTGCTTCGATTACTGGTTTTACAAAAACCAGTACGATTGATTCGGTTTAAAAAAATGCCCATGGTTTGATTAACCATGAGCACCCATATTCCCATCTACAACTTTAATGTTATACTAGCAAGGACCCGTGCGATGCACAGGCTTTGTTAAGTGAACGCCCGGTGCTTGCATAGCCAGCTCCGATTCTCATTGCTTCCACGCTGCGTCACAACACAACCCAAATAATTATTTATAAATAAATTATAAATGGGAAAACCTCCCAAGTATGCTTTCATATCTCTCTTCTCTTCTTTAATCTATACGCCTACCGTTGTAATTGGGTTTTAATTTATTTGAATTTTTAAATGCTTTGGGGTTTAATATTTTTCTTTTTAAATGAACAAGTGCATTTTCCCTTGGAGATTAGTTGGAGACTTATTGACAATAATGTTTATTTAAGTAGAGCAAAATATCATTCAATTTGTAGTATTTTTTTAGGCAAGAAGGGTTTTGTGTTAGGGACTCTTTCGAGGGAGCCTGCCTCCTGAATGAGAGAGAGAGATTGTATTCCCAAATCGATAATCCCCTCCTAACTTCCTTTCCTTATTTATATATTGTTGTTACAATTCTGTTATACCAGCCTCTCCACTTGTCTAATTTGTTATTTAGTTTGTTCTAGTGGTTGGCTGTTAGTTACATTCTTTAAAGGCTGGCGTGGCCTTTTSTTGTAYACTTGTATTCCCTTTAYTTGTKTCTCAACAGTCCCTCCTCCCTTGAAAGCGACCTTGCCCTCAAGGTCAAGATGTGAGAATCTATTCTATAAATCCAAGTAAGGTTCCCAAGTTGCATCCTCAATTGGGAGACCTGACCATGCCACCAATGCATCTAGTTCGATGTGATTCCCTTTTCGTATCCACCTGAAATCTGTTATCTGAGGGGGCTCAGTTTGAACTTGGCCATCATTCGAGAATGATGGGAGGGTGGTTATTGTTATTGCTCCCATTTTTTGGCCATT